TGTAAAACAGTCTTTGCACAGAGAGGTATTTAGAACATGTTGAGAACATTTCAGCGATATTTAGTGCCTTCTTTACACTTTGCTACATCACTGTAATTTCTTACAATCAACATGTACTGTTTAGAAAAAAGTTATTCTGATAACAGAAATATAAAATATTACCGTCCGCCAAAATTTGGTGACACGCAAGTGTCCAACTTGCCCAGGTGTGGTGAAATGCAAAACAAACAAATATGCGTTTCACAAAAACACATAAACCTACACTGTTAGAGTAAGGACCATAATGATAACAGAAATTTGATCTATTCTAGTTTATATATTTGGAAATTGTTCTTAAAGTTTCTAAATATTCATGAGCTTTGAATAAAAGCTTCATTTAAGAACTTGGTGCGGGGCCATCAGATGGCATGGTGGCTAAGAGCCCTGAATTCCCACATGGCCAACCACGGTTCAAGTCCCAGTCCTGGTTGGTGGCCTTCTCACTTTCTTTCTCTCTCTCTCTCACTCTCTCCCTCTCTGGTCAAATTAAACTAAATAAATAAATGAATAAATAAAATTCAAAAAAACAATTCTTTAAAAAGACAGGGAACCAGCAGTTAGCGTAATGGCTATGTCGCTGGACTCCCACATAGTCAACCGCGGTTCGTGTCCCGGACCCGGTGGCTTAAAACTCACGCCGGGCGCATGTGCATGCGTGCCCAAGATCCTGAGAGGAGAATGAAGGAGAAGGGATTGCAGCGTGACCATCCCCCCTGGGGCGTGATTTCTCGCTTTCTGTCTCTATGTCTCTGTCTGTCTGGCGAGCGCACGCGCCCTACAGTGAAAATCTCTCCCAAAAAATAAACAAAGGAACTTGGTGCAAGTATGGTTCATTAGCACTGCCTCTGGGTTACTGAATACTTCCATTCTTTCAAAATTGTGCATTCCAGGGACTCCCTCATCTAGTCCGATCTTGTTCTGCTGCTGGCTGTGAGGCCAAGCTTTGCCAGGTGAAATAAACATGTGGTTCCTCTTAGAAGGCTTTGTGTAGCTTCACATCCCTTTCCTGGATTAGGGTACCGAAAGGCAGGGAGGTAAAGAGAAGTCACAGAAACCTACTGAGCTGCTTTTGTACAGAGATTATGTTAGGTCCACGCTGTCCAGATACAGTGAAATAATAATGAACTGTAGGCAACATGTTGGAATGACAACAACAGCAGGGAAGGTTTTCATTAAATTCAAAGAGAAAGTCTTCAAGAAACCCATCAAATCAGATAACCAAAGAACAAGCTCCAGTGGACTGGAAACGCCCGGGTTTCCTACCGAATTGGGCTGAGAAAGCAGTAACAGCAGTGGGCCTTCTTGTGCTCCTAGGTGGTAGGAGCTACACAGAGTACAGAAGTGGAAGGTAAGGACTTCCTTCACACCAAAAACAAAGAAGGCAGAAAAACACAGAGCTGAGTTACGTTTGTAACTAGGGAACAACTAAACATGTGAACGAGGTTCAGTGAGGAAGGGGAAGTATGGCTGGGACTACCCCTGGAGACAAAAGCAACAGCACTGACTAAGAACAGGAGGAGAATAATCCGTTTTCTCACCTCCAGGGACAATCCTCGGAGGAGCACACTACAGACAAGTCTTATCCAGGGTCCTTCTCCTCTTAATCCTCGCTAACATTTATCACATGACCAGTGGTTGAAATAAAGATTAAGGGATCCCAAGAAGTTACTAAGTAAAAGAGGTGTCATCGAGCAGCCACATTCACCCTAAAAGGTATCTGGGAGACTGAGGAGCCTTCCCAGGACTCGCAGCACGGAAGGGAAGATGGCTTCCAGGAGGCCGGACCTAGCAAGGCAATGACAGAGCCATGCTTTGCTACCATTATTAATCCTACACCCCCACTGTAGACACGTTGCCAAAAACCAGGAAGCAAGCTCAGACAAGTTATGGCATCTGCCCAGTGCTGGGTCCCTCACCCATCTCTACCCCAGCAGTTCTTTGTTATTATTTATTTATTTATTTATTTGTTTATTTATTTATTTAGAGAGAGAGGGTTTTGCTATAGGGCATGTGCACTCGCAGAAGAGATAGCGATAAAAAGCAATAAATCACCCTCTATGAGGATGGCCATGCTGCAACCCCTTCTCCTCCGTTCTCCTTTCAGGATTTTGGGCATGTACGCACGTGCGCCCCGACATGAGTTTTAAGCTCCCAGGTCTGGAATTCGAACTGCAGTCGACTACGTAGGAGTCCAGCAACGTAACTATTATGCCATCTGCTAAACCCAAGCCAACAGTTCTTAAGACGTTTAGTCTTGGGTTCCCTTCTCATGCTTAAAACATTATTGAAGAATATAAATATCTTTCATACACACACAAGTATATGCACATGCAATGAACTTAAAAAGCTTCTGAAAAATGGAACTAAAGTATGATTTTATTTTGGTAAAAGATTTTTAAAACCTATACATAGTTTTTTCATGATAGATATTTTCTATGAAGTTTTTGAAGACCTGTTCTGGGCATGTATTTTTTCACTCACATGCATGTACACAAAAATGTGTGTGTGTGTGTGTGTGTGTGTGTATATATATATATATACTATATATGAAATTTACATGGAGAAAATGTTAAAAACACAAGAATACATCAAACATTCCCTTAGCCGTCAAAGCAGTGATAACATTGCACATCACACACGCTCTACAATACCCCACTGTATACACATGAGAGAACAAGAGTTTAAAAGCAAACAACAAATCAATTTTATGGTGACAATAGTTTTGGCCTCTCTGATTCCCTGAGAGGATCAGAGACCCCCAGGAGTCTGAGATCACACGGTGACAGTTGTTATTTTAACCTCAAGGCTATCCTTTACTTTTCTAAGACCAGACCCGGGTCCATTCAGTGAATGATCTTCAGAATCTGGCTCTAAGCTCCAACGTTTGCTAAATTCTCCCAAGTCAGCCATGACAAAATAAGCCTTCTCCCAGTGCTCAAGCTTCTTTGCAGGTGCTCGTGTTAAATCTCTGGTCTGAACTTCTCCTTTTAGAGATTCCCACTCTAGCTTTTAGGACTCTGCTGAAATGTCAACTCCCCTAGGCTCCAGGCAAAATTGATTGCTTTTCACAGAGCACTTCTTTACCACTACTTAGTTCTCCTACATTGCATTGTTTTGCTGTGAATTAGTCAGGCATCTGCCTCTCCTCCTTCCATTCCCCACTGTAAGGAGCACTTGCCCAGCAATGAACACTGGAGTAGGATCTCAACCTGCCCCTCAAGAACTGAGTCTCCCTGAGCTACAGAGGACGAAAAACCAACCAGTGTATTAATCTTTAACTTTAATTCCTGATGCCTGATGTTGTTTCCTGCTGCCTGATGTTGTTCAAAACTGTTTTATTTGCATTGTCTAATTATTCTAAACTGTTGTTATCGGAAGCTGATTGGTGTGGGGACCATCGGTGTTATCTTATTTGTACTTTTCTGTAACATTTTTACAACTATAAATGCAATACAACATTAGCAGCTAATCAGAAATGTCGATGTGTGTGATTGACAGTTGCATGTGCTCTACGTGCATATAAATGTCCTCGGTTATTTATGCTATTATCAGCAAGAGATAAAGGTTAAGAATATCTAACTCAACTGTCCAGCTCTTTTGCCTACACCACACAGCATGTGTGACTATCCTCTTGTTGTCTGTAACTTGCATATATTCGTGTGACCTCGACTTTGTCCTCATGTCCCCAATGGAAGGTTCCAGATCTTCTTTGTGTGCCATTTCCTGAATTCCTCATGGCATATTGCAAATCTTACGGCCAAGCAACATAGGATCTTAAAATCTACACACAAACCTAGCTTTTTAACTTTGCCGATCTCAATTAGCAGAATGTTCTCTTGGAAACAAATACATCTCTCTGTGGCCACCAGGGAGCCGAATTAACTGGTTGCTTTCATAAAGTTCAGTAAAACATTTACGGGGGAATGTTTCCCCACAGATGGAATTCAAAATGGATTGCTCTGTAAAGGATTTTATCTCCTAGAAGAACCAGAAAACAGAGTGTTTGAAGTACTAACATGACACACTACTCATTATTAACAAAGGGCTTTCCACCCCCTGCACGAAATCTGAACCACGCGTTTCTGCACGGATGCAGGCGCTTCTGCAGAAGGAAAAGGCAAGAACGGGTTGGAGATACTGTTTAATTGGCCGCATGCTGGTGACTCACTTTCTGCTCAGCTCCTGCCGTGTTACCATCAGGCCTGAGGAGATCATTGCAACAGACCAAGCTCTGATGGTTCTGGCCTTCCAAGATACCCCTAGACTGCCCCACCCTGAACTCTTAGACTTCCTGCCTGGACCTCCCTGATCTCTAAGAAAGGCTGTGTTCTGTGCAGCAACTCTGCTCCGGGGAGTCGTGCTTCCTCATTGACATGCAGGTAGCACTGCCGTAAGCAAAGGCTGCAGAGAGTCATTAAAGTGGTGGGGAGACAAACAACACTTGCACTGCATACCAAGCGGCATCCCATTTAACTGAATCATTTTATTATGAATACATTCCGAGCTGCCACTGTGAGCCACTGGTGTAAAATATGCTGGCAAAATGGATCTCTGCTAATTACGTTTCATGCATATTTCAGAACTTTCTACAGGGATACAGGAGGGTAGTGTTCATAAAAGGGAATTTTACAACCAGGTTTACTTGCGTTTGGCTCAAGACACCAAACGAGCGGGTAACCAAGATAAGTTCAGTTACACCTTGTGTTTGTTTTAGCTGCTGTGTTGTCATTCCATAGCACTCTATCAGTACCGCTATGGTCACTGGCTGAAAATGAAATCACTCTTCAGATGCACCTGAGCACACATTATTGCAGAAAAGCACAGGGCTGTTAAATCATTTCTTTCCCACATTTTTTTTTAATCTGTATTTGTCTTCCATTTTACCTTAGATTACATGAAAGAAATGAGTCTCTGGACGCAGGGGTGTGTCAGGAAATTGACAGTACAGAAAGCACCATTACCTGCTTCAGGACTGAGCTGTAAAGAACACAAGTGATTGCCTTCTCGTGGCTTCTCACCCTCGTCCAGGCTTCACGCTTCATCGCCAGCAATGCAAGCTGGTTATTAAATGATATGAAAAGTCGTCCACGGGCTTCATCAAAGTGGAAGAGGCACTTGAATTCCTGAGTTTGGGGGAAAGGACAAGCTATCCTCTGGATAGACAGCTGGTGTTGAATGTCCCAGAGTCTCAAAACCTGGACAGAAAGGGATAAAATCATATACATACTTCAAAAATAACTATTCGTTAGCCAATTTTTTTTTTCTAGCTCACACTCAACCCCAGGCAGATAGTTGCATCTCCACAACTTTCTAGTGGATTCATGTTTCTATCACAGCCCATCTTATTTTGCATTTCAGTTACTTGTTTGAGTATCTCTAAAATCGTAAGCTTCTCTAGGGAAGGCACTGTGGTTTATCTTAGTCTCTGGAATATGGCTCAAGATTAGTATGTAGTTCTATAGGTAGAATAAGTGGTCCCCCAAATACATCCATGTCCTAAACCCTAGAATCTGTAAATATATTTTGTCATAGTGTAAAAGGGATTTTGCAGATGTGATTACATCAAGCACTTTAAAATGGAGGGATGGATGTTCTTGGGTTATTTGGGTGAGTCCAAAGTAATCACAAAACTCTTGAAATAAGGAAGGAAGAGTGAGGGAAAAAAATAACAGAGTGACGCAACAACGTGAAGACTTTCCTCGAGTAACTGGAGGATGAAGATGGAA